TGGCGGCCGGCTCTTCCCTCTGGCTCCCGAGGCAGTTTCCCACTTCAAGGAGAAGCTTCTCTTCCTTAGCCTGTCTCCCAACTTCCGCGATGGCCTTGGCCTTTGGCAGGAGTCTGGGGGCACCTCTAAGAAGAACGGAGGGAGAGAAGGTATTGCCTTTAAGGCCCTGAACCAGGGCGCTGGGAGCCCAGACTCGGTGGACAGGTGATGTTGGCCAAGGAGATGGCTTCACCGTATGATTGGCCCATTGCTAAGGTAACCCGAAGGTGGCTCTCCAGCGTGGAATGATGTCTCCTGTGTAAGGTTGACACCAGACCTTCCATGTGGACCATCTAGACAGGGGGAGGAAGTGGGTTTTGCGGTTAGGGATGGTGGACTTCTTGGCTCCAGCTGTTGCAGCAGGTCTGTGGTGGGATCACTCTGAACCTCTTCTGCAGGGTGGTTTGGCTGCAAGAGATACTGGAAGCCCAGCTTCTACAGCCACTTTCTTGGTGGGTGGTTGCTAAAGGGAGCTTGACCCATTGACCTGGCTTGACGGCCAGGGGTACTTGCAGAAGAATGTAAAAAAATGTCAGGAGGGTGACCACCACATGATTCAAGCCCCATCCCTTTTTTCTTGTGGGTCACACCTGCCATCTTGTCTTTTCTGGATCCCCTGCCAACACCCCGATTGCCACCTTGACGGAGAACTTGTGCAATTAATAGCATCAGACAATGGTGCGCTCACCATTCCAGTTGCATTCATGCCATGCTGCGGAGTGATGATGAGATGGGGTGTTTCTGGACATGCTGGAGAGGGGGGAGAGGCTGGACACGGGTCTTCTGCCTTCACACAACAAGCTAAGCCCTGCTTTGGTGAAACCACAATTGGCTAGATGTGCACACCAGCTGCTGTAATAAACTGCAGCTTACAAACTCTAATGGGTTCATCTGAAATGTGCAATAGAATGCTTTTAGAAAAAATAATACTACAATAGAAAAGTAAATCTGGCACAGAATTTAATTCTCGAAAACAATGCTTGGGTTATATAGGGGCTTGTACCATGTCTGAAATTTGCATTTCCCTTCATATCATCTTGATATTCTAACTTTCAGTGATCTGTTAAATAAGGAAAGGTTTTTCACTGTTTGGACAGAAATTACATTAATTCCTTACTGTATGTTATGATTTATACTGTGCTGCTTATTGCTGTTGATATCTATATTATACTTGTATTTTAAAATGTCCTGCAGTTTTAAAAACAATATAAAAGATATCAGATATGTAAAGCTAAAATCCTTACCTAACAATTTAGTCCTCTTTCATTCTATAATGCTAGTTAATTTCCTGTTTCCTTTTCTCCTTGTTTACTTCTTTCTTCCCTTTTCCTGTACAGTATGTATTTTTTCTTTTAATTTTCTTTCTCAAAATATTTAATAAAACTATAAACATAAAAAAGGAAGAATAGGAAACTTGCCCTGAGGATGGATGCTTCTGAGACCGTTAGTTGACCACTAGAGGGTATATTATACTGTGTTATCTTTGTTCTTTTAAAACAAATTTCTAGTTCAATAGCAATCACATCATGTGATTGCCCCCGCCCTATGGAATATTCTCCCCCCAGAGGTGCGGCAGGCCCCCCCCCTCCCGGCTTTCCGGAAAGGATTAAAGACCTGGCTCTGCCAGCTTGTGTGGGTTACAAGGCTCTTACCCAGTCCTGGGGGTGCCTGGCGCCTTGGTGACGCTCCCCGAGCTCCTGCCAATCGAACATCTATTCTTGGATTATATTTATTTTCTATTTATTCAGGGTCATTTTATATTGTATTTTTAATTGATCTGGACTGCTTTGTAAACCACCCAGAGTCATTTCTTAATGAGATGGGCAGTGGCAAATTTGACAGATAAATAAATAAAATAAAATAAAATCAATAAATCAGCATGGGGAAATAGTAAAACAACAAGAAGCTAAAAAGTGGGCCCTCTTTTATGGTGCAAAACACACACACACAGACACACACACACACACACACACAAACAGAACGCAGCCTTAAGCAGGTTAGCTTGTTTTTTT